AGTTATCTGATCTGGTTAGAAGAACATAGCATCTTCTGGAAGTGTTCTTTGAGTTATCTGATCTGATTGGACAGAACATAGCATCTTCTGGAAGTGTTCTTTGAGTTATCTGATCTGGTTAGAAGAACATAGCATCTTCTGGAAGTGTTCTTTGAGTTATCTGATCTGATTGGACAGAACATAGCATCTTCTGGAAGTGTTCTTTGAGTTATCTGATCTGGTTAGAAGAACATAGCATCTTCTGGAAGTGTTCTTTGAGTTATCTGATCTGATTGGACAGAACATAGCATCTTCTGGAAGTGTTCTTTGAGTTATCTAATCTGATTAGACAGAACATAGCATCTTCTGGAAGTGTTCTTTGAGTTATCTGATCTGATTGGACAGAACATAGCATCTTCTGGAAGTGTTCTTTGAGTTATCTGATCTGGTTAGAAGAACATAGCATCTTCTGGAAGTGTTCTTTGAGTTATCTGATCTGGTTGGACAGAACATAGCATCTTCTGGAAGTGTTCTTTGAGTTATTTGATCTGGTTTAACAGAACCAATCAGTGAATTTGGAAGATGAATTTGCCAATATCATCTTCTGGAAATGTTCTTTGAGTTATCTGATCTGATTGGACATAACATAGCATCTTCTGGAAGTGTTCTTTGAGTTATCTGATCTGTTTGATCATAACATAGCATCTTCTGGAAGTGTTCTTTGAGTTATTTGATCCGAAGAAGTGCATCAGCAGCCTTAGTCATTTGAGCAGCACAAATAAAATTTATCAATTTTACAATTGATAAGTTTGGACCATATTTCTACATGGCTATTGAAGCTTCAGCCTTTGAGAATCCCATCTTGTCAAGTATAACAGTTTATTCTCTTCATCAGAATCAGAATTCAAGATTTCTTGGTATTAGAAGAACTATCAATATCTGTGAAATCATCTTGAAAGGTCACTTCATAATCAGATGAATTGTTATCAGAATCAACATGTTGCCTGAATGCAAGCTTTTCAAGAGCCTATACAATTGAGTTTTATTCTCAAGAAATTTTTGTGACATTATATCTACCTCTACATTTGTCAAAGAGGATAGATTCTCTGATTTGAAGAAGAAAGATTTATTGGGTTTCTACAACTGAAGAAATATTCAGTTCACCAATCTGAAATCAAATAACTTAACATTCATGCATCATATTTTAGGTGTTTACAAAAATAGGTGCATTTTCATTCATTTTATTCTTGTTGAATTTTTAACAGGAATTTCAAAGATTTTAGCAAAGATTCAAATTCATCACTTGATGGATCAACATTTCCAGAGAAAGAGTTCATAATGAGAAGAACTCGTCATCTGAAGAAGGAAGAAGAAGTTCATAATGAGAAGAACTTGTTCAACCTTTTGCTTGAATTCATCACTTGATGGATCAACATTTCCAGAGAAAGAGTTCATAATGAGAAGAACTCGTCATCTGAAGAAGGAAGAAGAAGTTCATAATGAGAAGAACTTGTTCAACCTTTTGCTTGAATTCATCACTTGATGGATCAACATTTCCAGAGAAAGAGTTCATAATGAGAAGAACTCGTCATCTGAAGAAGGAAGAAGAAGTTCATAATGAGAAGAACTTGTTCAACCTTTTGCTTGAATTCATCATTTAATGGATCAACATTTCCAGAGGAAGAGTTCATAATGAGAAGAACTCGTCATCTGAAGAAAGAAGAAGAAGTTCATAATGAGAAGAATTTGTTCAACCTTTTGTTTAAATTCATCATTTGGTGGATCATCTTTTCCAGAGAAAGTTCATAATGAAAAGAACTCATCTGAAGAAGGAAGAAGAAGTTCATAATGAGAAGAACTTGTTCAACTTTTTGTTTAAATTCATCATTTGATGGATCAACATGGCCAAAGAAAGTTCATGAATGAGAAGAACTCATCTGAAGAAGGAAGAAGAAGTTCATAATGAGAAGAGCTTGTTCAACCTTTGTTTGATATCATTTGAAGAAAGAAGAGAAAGTTCATAATGAGAAGAACTCATCAAGAGTTTATTCAACCTTTTGAATGACTCTATCACAGAAAGGAGGTCATCATCATCCCCAACAGAGAGTTCATAATAAGAAGAACTTATTTGGAGAGAGAGAAGAATTTATTCAATATCTCCATAATGATCAAAGTAAAGTCAAATAGATAAAAAATTTTATTATCTTTTCATCTTTGCCCTATTCTTGTTAACACAAGAATGAGCAAAGAGGGGCAGCTGAAGATACTATTTTTATCCATTTTATTATTATTATTATATATTAATATTATTATTATCATTATTAATATTATTATTATTATTATTATTATTATTATTAGTATTTATTATTATTATTAATATTATATATTATTATTATTATTATTATTTAACAAATAATTACAACTGGACCGGCCCAGTTACAAGCCAACTAGAACCGGTCCAGCCAACCAGAAACCCTAAAAGGTTTCAGCTAGGGTTTCTAAACCCTAGCCACACCCAGCCGCCTCTGATGGTTCCAGATCCCAGCCGCCGCCTCACTGCCAAGTGGTCCAATGGCCCACTGCCGACGCCTCCGCCGCTGCCACGTCCCGAATGGAGGATCTAGAAGATCAACGTCGGCCGTCCACACCAAGGCTACGGGGTGAGTCACCACTGGTAGTCCGGTGACTCACCGAAGCCCTCTCTTTGGACCGGTCCGATGACCGCACCGGTGGTGGCTATAAAAGCCACCACCCACCTGCGAAGAAAAAAAAAAGAGGAGAGACAGAGACAGAAACAGAACAAAAAAAAAAAAACAGAGAAAAGAAAACAAACAAACTACCAACGATCTCAGTCAGCATCAACCACAGCAAGGAAAAAGAGAGAAGAAAGACAAAAGCTTACCCTGTCACCGGAGAGCCCCAACCGTCGCCGGATCTCACCAAAACTTCAAAAAGCCGAAGGTATTTTTTGTAGATTTGCTCTGATAGGGATTGTTTTAAGGGAAACAGTCATCGGAACCATCAATAAGATGGTCCGATCTATCTTTAGGAGTAAAAAATATTTTTTCCGGCCACCGGATGCAGTGGCCGGCGGCGAGGTCAACACCGGCGAACGGTTGTCGGCCGGTGTGCTTCTCTCAGTTTTAGAGAGAAGCGAGAGAATTCTGATTTCTCTCAGAGAAGAGAGAGAGAAAGGGAAGAAAGAAAATGAGGACTGGCCCTTCGGGCCAGCCGATTTTGGGCATTAAATAGCCCTTCCCAAACGACGTCGTTTTGGGGAGGGCTATTCGCGTAATTACGAAATAATTAAACCCCTTCCGCAGTCCTTCATAGTTGTAAATTTTATATTCTGGTCACTAAACTGAATTTATAATAGTTTTAATTCAGTCTTCGAATTTTAACTTCTTTTATTTTAGTCCTTTTTATATATTTAGGATAAATGACAAATTTAATCCCTTAATTTTAATAAATAATTTTTTAGTCCCTAATTCATATTTTTAATTTATTTTATTATAAAATTTGAATTTTAGATAATTTTATTTTTGTTACTAAATTATTAAATTAAAAAATAAAATATTTAATCCCTATAAATTTCAATTAATTAGGAAATTAGATTTATTTTTATTTTTATAATTTAGTTATTTATTTTATATGTTTTCATTTTACTGCTTAAAATATATTGTTTTAGTGATATTTTTATATTATTATATTGTTAAATATTTTTATATTCATAAATATAATAAATAGTAATTTTTAAATATTTATTTTTAATATCGAAGAAAAGGACAGTCTTAATACAACTGGATGTCCTATTCTGATATTTTAAAATTAAAAAGTAAACAATATTATTTAAATTAATATTTATCAATATCAAAGAAAAGAGCTGTCTTAAGGCACCTAGAAGTTCTTTTCGGATATTTTTAATTAATAAAATTTTTTAATAGAATTATAAATTAAATATATTTTTTTTTGAATTTTTAAATTTTAATAAAAGAGACAATTTATAATTAAAAAGTACCAATTTTGGGCGTTGTAGGGGTGCTAATCCTTCCCTAAACGTAACCGACCACGAACCCCTTTTTATTATTAAAAAGAACAAATTTTTGGTTATAAAACGCAGATCAGTTCATCTTTTAAATATGGTTTTCTTAAAAACTATTTTAAAAGAAAATTTTTAGGTATTCGACCTACCTGATCCAAAAGGTCGATGGCGACTCACAAATTATTTTCAAAATTATTTATTAACATTAATTTCCCCACCAAAATTTAATATTTCGTGCCCGGACGAAAACCGGTTACGACAGTATTATTTCTTTATTTTGATTGAAATAATAAGTTTTAAAATTATGCCAAATTATGATTTTCTTATGTTTGAAAAATCAAATGTCACATCAGATTTGTATCTGGGTCAGGTACGGGTCAGGGTGTTCCAGGATCACTTCATCATGGTTAAAAAATCATCAGCCGACATTAAAATTGTCTTCCTATCCTTTTGAACAGAGGGAACAATAACTGGCATATTACGATGGCTGGTTTGGCCAGTATGCGCACCTGAGATAGCACTCAAGGGGAGAGCTGGGTTTTGGTTAGCATCAATGGTAGCAACTGAGTGTTTATTCGGGTTTAATCCTGCACCCGAAATTCGTGCCAAAGGGGGTTTTGAGGCGCTGGTAGCTTGTATTCTAACACCACGATTTAGAATAATATTCGGGGAGATCGGTTTTTGAGGTGCCAATGCAAATTTCATGTTAGAAGTAGTCTTTCCCTTTGAGCTTTGCTTTATTTGAATGAGCAGTGGTACGAGTAGCCTGTGGGGCAGCAGTTGGTTTTCCAGGATTTTATTTTAAAGCCGAGACAGCTGTCTTCAATAATAATACCAGTAGCGTGGCTGCCATCTTGGTGTGTCATCTCAAGAATGATCTCAATTGGAGCTTCAAGTTCATTGTTACTCTCCTCTTCCAAGATAAGAGGACTAAAGGACGAGGAAACAATATGGGTATTTTCATTCCCATTGGCCAATTTTATAAGTTTCTTTTGGGGACGCCGTTGACGTTTTTTACCATCATCCAGGGGCCAAAAGCCTCATTCGGAACTGGAGAAGATTTAGTGACCACATCTTGTTTAGAGGTAGAAGAGTGGAGAGTCTCGGAATGCACATTGTTTTCAGTCACAGGAGCTACTAAGGTTGAACAAATATCTTTCACATGCCCATAGATTCCACATTCAAAACATACAGTGGAAAGAGCCTCATACTCTACAATTTGGGTCCTGCCGTTGATATTAATTTTAGAGACTAGTGGTTTGCGCAAATTAATATTCACTGCCATATGGGCGAAACGCCCGCGCCGACCATTATCAGTTTGATAATCAACTTTGACAACAGATCCGATCCTATTTCCAATAGCCTCAATCATACTCCATTTATAACAAGTAATCGGCAAACCTGGTAACCTTACCCACACCATGATCCTACTGGGATGCGATTGAGTTGGACAGAATTCAATGAACCATGGTTCAACAGTCAAGTAATGGCCGAAAATAGTCCACGGACCATCCGATTGAACCTTTAGATAGTCTTGCTTGCAAGAAAACTTCACCAGAAAATAGTCATTTTCAATGTCTATCAATTTAATCGGATGCGATGGCTTCCAGATATTATAAATACGGTTATGGAGCGTGTTATAACCAACTCTGCACCCAAGGACCTTGACGACTAACGTAAAATCCATGCTTTTTATCGCCAAGTATTGTGCCCGATCAGAGAAATCAATGAAGGGAATTTCATCTCTTTCTCCTATTCGGATGTCATCTTCCAATAAATCAAAATCATCATCCTCAATGTCGATTAGCTCTTCATCAGATTGATTTTGCGAGGGGCTGTGCGTCATACCAGTGACCATGTCTTTGCAAGAGAGAGGGGCTTTAAGCAAAGAAGTATTATCACAATCCATGTGTTCAGCAGGCTGCACGGCGGAGGGATCATTGTTAATAGAGAAAATTGTACTTTTACTACGGAGTGGGGCTGGCACAGGATTGTACTTCAGATTTTCGTCCAGAGCCCATGATTGCTTGGGATTCTTACACCATGGTTCTAGGTACTGACCCTTTAGTTTGTAAATAGGCTGAAAATTTTGTTAGGCTAGATTGTGTTGTTCATGAATTGACACCACTGATTTTCAGTCTATCTCTAAAATCAGCTTATTAGGTTGGTGGTCAATTGACGAAGGAAGTATAGAGGAACAGGCACGACTTTATCAGGATGGAACTTGCTTTTGAATCAGTCCACATCTTCATGTGGTGCGTGTCTGGTTGTGCCTGAAAAAAATGTGAATCATGTTTCATAATATGAAACACGGTAAAATTGATAGACTATACTAATAATTAAGAAAAAAATTGACTTAAACTTATTTATGCCTATTTATGAAGTTTGATTGTATTGATGTGAACTGTTTTTAATGCCAAAAGAAAATACAAGTATCAGAGAACATAACTATGTAGCAGAGATGATGTAAGATTTTGTGTTCAAAATGGGAAAGATGATTCAAGTTTTTAGACATCTCTTAAAGTAAAGATGATGAGAAAAATTTGATAGGAGCAACTGCTCAGTGATTATTGGCATATCGCTTATCAATATTATTCTACGCTATTCAACTTAAAATGTAACATCCAAAAAACCGGGTTAGTGACTAAAACGAAAGTTTTTGAAATTTGGTGATCAATTTAGGAAAATTGAAAAGTTCAAGAATTTATTTAGAAATTTTTTTAGGACTTGATATCAAAGTTGGATTATTGGAAGGGTATTATGGTTTTTTCAAAGGAAAGAATTTTATCTTCCCTTATTAAGTGATATATAACACGTGAAAAATGGGAGAAAAGGAAAAAGAAGTCCAAAACATTGTTATCTTCTTCCTCGTTGCTGAAAGCTCTACTTTTAAAGGTGAGTATGCTTTCTATGGATTAATTCATTCATTTTAAGGTTGCTTTTGATTCTTGGGATGATAAGAAAGCTTAAGGGAAGCTTAGGGTGGCTTAAAACTCAAAGATAAATAAGTTATGAAGGATTGAAGGTAAAGAGTTTTTAAGGGAATTATTGAGAAATAGTTAGTAAATAAGTTTTAAAGTGAAATTTAACTTGTCAGATGTTGAAATAAGAAATTCAAAGTGTTAGAACTGAATTTGGAACATGCTGATTAATTGACATGATTATTGAATTTAAGTGTGATAGTTAGATATGGGATATTAAGATGAGTTAAAGTGAGATAAATTGATTTGATTAGGTGTGGTTAAGTTTACAGGCATGAAAGAAGAGTAAAATAAGGAATTTAGTTGAGTATGGTCGATTTTCGGGGGTAAAATGAATAAGTTCTGGGCATGAGGTATCAATATTGTTTATTCAGTACTGATACTTCCAAAACAAATGAGTAGAATATGAGCTTGGGGTATCGATACTGAAGGAACAATATCGATACCATAAGGAAAAATTGGATGAAATCTTTAAAGAAGTATCGATACCTAAAGGGTGGTATCGATACTGGTTAAAGGGGTATCGATACCAAGTGTATAGTATCGATACCATTATCGAGTTATAAAAGCATAATATAAAAATGGTATCGGTACCTAAGGTGGTATCGATACCATAAGAGGGTAGTATCGGTACTATAGTAAGAGTACCGATACTATTAAGCTTGAAGTGTTTAATTAAGTGGTTCTTTTAGCCTATGCTATATTGATTGGTTATAAGTAATTTGAACTCCAATATACATATAAGTCGTATAATTGTGTAGATATCGATCAGAAGCAAGTATCAGATGAGTCAACGAAATAAGATCGATCAAGAAAGAGTTGTACGTATTTAATTGGACTAGTGAGGCTAGGTGAGTGCATAATATTAGATATATGATATTTGATGGAAATAAGACTTGTGATAAGTCTATTTTCCATATTAAAGCATATGAATATAAGTGTATGTGTCATATGTTATTGCATGAGTTACATGTTATGCTATGTATGTTAAATGAGTTATGTGAATGCATGTTGATATGATAATTTATGTTAAATGATATAATTGAATTATGTAATGGCGTGAACCTGGAATATAAGCTATGTGGCATAGATATAAATGATTATATAAACATGAAAAATAAGCCATATGATATGACATATGTGATTGTATGAGAAAGAATATGAACTATATGAGAACATGCATATGTGAATGAGCTATGCGACTATGTGAACATGTGAATACATGTCTATGAGATAAGCCATATGACTATGAGCTATGTGATTACATGATCACAAGATATATGCCTATGTGAATATGTGACAAACATAAATGATAATGCCCATGTTATGTGATACGAGAGCTAGGGGTATAGTTGGCATACAAAGAGTCAAGGGTTCTATGCGTGTAATACCCCCAACCCGTATCCAACCCGGATACGAGTCCGAAGTGTCACATTGACTTTTCAAACATTTATTCGTATAAAATAGTGAGTAATTTTAAAAAACTTTTATAACATTTAACTTATTCAAAACATTTACAAAACTATTCAGAGCTTATACAATATATTCTTTTGATTACATGCCAACTAGAACTTTATATACAAAAATACATATTATTCACCTCTCTTTTGATCTGACATTCGGTAAGGAGAACTGACTTGTCTTGTTCCTCTTTACTTCTCTTTTCGCTTTCCAAACCTACGTGTGAAACAATCACACGCTAAGTCGATGACTTAGTGAGGCATATAAAACATATAAATATTTCATATAACATAAAGCATACATAAACATATACCATCATATGGTTCATATAACACATTTCAAACCACTTACTTTTGATAACCAATTATAAACCCATCGTATACATATCACATTTAGTATGTTTGTTTAATCTCTTTATTAGCCCATGTACACTAGTGAGAACTTAAGGTATGTGAGTACATTGAGGTTGTGCACACATATGCTGTCACCACAGCTCGATCAATGTCCCGAAGGACCTATCCAGAGGTCATAAAGATCCTCGGTAACTATCCAGAGGTCATAAAGATCCTCGGCAACTGTCCATAGGTTCCGAAGAACCTAGGTAAACTGTCCATATGTTCCTTAGAACATAGGTATACTGTCCATATGTGTCGAAAGACATATGTAATTCTGTCCATATATTCCGTAGACATAGGTATACCCTCGACTCTTGGCATGCCAACTATACCCCTAGCTCTCATATCACATAACATGGGCATTATCATTTATAACATTTCATATCACTTGTTATTTCTCTTCTGTCACATACCACATGTATGTGTAACCATATATCTCATATCATATCACATGTATCACAAGTGCATGTATTCACGTAGATCGTTTCATATGACTTATATCATTTCTCATTTGTTCATGTAACTCGCATGTCATATCATGTAACATATAACACACATAATCATATCGGCTCACAGTTTTATCACCTATCGTGTTATTTCACATATACACTTTTATATCGCATAAACTCATATATATCATATCACCTATAATAACATATGACACATATACCCATAACTTCATATCACATACTTATATCAATTCACACTTAGTCACATGGGTCATTTCTCATAACATATATCACATCACATATGTTCATGGGTATATCCCATAGCATATAAATAACATATAAACTTATATGTATTCATGTGTATACTTTCATTTAGCCTATATATCAATGTCATATAACTTATATTACCTATGCATATAACCTTATGACTTATTATCAAGTACTCAATTAATGTTCCTATATGGTTCCATCTTTATCATATAACCTATGAGCTATTCTTATATTACCCTATATCAACCATACTTTGTTTATCTCACTTTTCATATCATTCATTTATCACATATATGTCACTTTGCTTATAACACTTCTTTGGTTTTCATATGACATGTAAATCATTGTCATCTCTTGTTCTCATATAATTTCATATAGTCACTTATCACATAGTTTACATCCTATGATCATAGAATCATATCAATAACACATATACTCATGCACACATATAAATCATAACAAACACATACCTCTATGAATTCATGCATTTTACTATTGGAAATAGACTTATCATAAGTCTTATTTTCCATTTAACATCATATACTAAATAATGTGCACTCACCTTAGCTTTGCTTTGATTCGATTCTAATCCTTCAATTGATTCAGAACGGGATCACGTTCTATATCTACATAATCATACATAGATCTATATTAGTATTATAACTAATATACTCTAATGGTTCACTCTTTAGATTAAGATAAATGCCAATTTCTTCTTTCAATAAGGGTATGCATCGATGCACTACTGATGCATCGGTGCATAAAATACATTCGATGTTGTATTATTATTAGGATGCATCGATGCATGCCTTATGCATCGATGCACTAATTGCATTCAATGTTTCTATTTTAAAAGAGTGCATCGATGCACTACCTGTGCATCGATACACCTTCAAACAAATTTCTGGGTTTTAACCTTGATGCATCGATGCACAATGAATATGCATCGATGCACTCTGCCCATAATTCTCTTTTTGAACCCGAAAATTCATTCATTTTGGCTTAAATCCTTCATGTTTCATCCCCTTTTTCATTCTTAACTCTAGTACACATACTTAAACCAATCTATACTCATTTATTTCATCTTAAACCTAAAAATCCTATCTTCCATATGTAATTCAATAATTACATCAATTTTGCAAGATGTTTCAAATCCAATTATATTACTTCATATCTCTTACTTAGATTGATGACAAGTCAAATCCAACTTTCAATTCTTATTATAAACTCTATTTCAAGATTTCATTCAAGAACCATTAATCTTTAATCTTCTCTATCTCCTTTAGCTTTTGATTTTAGGACAACCTAAGCTTTCCATAATCTTAAGTATTACCTAAGGATCAAAACCCACTC